ATAAATAAAAAAAAAGAAAAAGTAAAGAGGGGGGGGGGGGGGAGGGAGGAGGAAATCTTCCGGGAACTGCCAAGTAGCTTCTTTGTCAGTTGAATCAAAATGCTTGGCCCTTACAGTTCATCCTGCAAAAACAAAAGGGTACATACTGTCAGATTGAGAACCAGAAGAAAAGATTGATGCCACCATTGTTTTGAAAGTTAAAAACAATTTGTCAATTCTTACATGTGTGTCCTCATCCTTGGAGTCAGACTTGTCATCAGCATCATCTGAATCAGCCTCATCAGCCTCGTCATCTTCCTCGGCCTGGAAAAACATGTTAACAACATAAGAGCAAGACAACAAGGAACAACACAGCTTACTGATAGAGTAAGAAGGGTTTTCCAAAGAAAATTTAGAGGCTTACATCAGATTCAGCTGGAGCATTCTTTGATTCCTCCTCCTCTCTCTTCTTTTCTGCTTCCTCAAAAGCAGCCTTTTCAGCCTGCATAATTAAGATAATATTAACTATTAAGACTCAATAATTCTATTATGACTACACTAAGAGAATAAGGAAGGAACCACATACATCCTTCTGCTTTCCCCATGTTTCCTCTGCAATGGACTTGGCATACTCTGGATCATCGCATATCACAACATTGTCAAACAAGGTTCCAGATTTCACCTGCAAAATACATTATGCTTATGTCAATTAAGTGCAAACGCAGTAAGTCAAAATTGTTAATGGTGTAATTTACAGCAGATCACACAAGAAAAGGAAAATTCCTTACTTGCCACAGCTCAACTCCGACATACTTCAATTTTGGGAAAACATATAGATCTGGGTCATCCTTGAAGTCTAGAGACAAAAACAGCATAGATATCAATAATTGTGATACTAAAAGTCAGCTCACAAAAATATATAGATGTAGTATTGACAACTAAAAGGACCTGGGTTGTCAATCATAGGAGCCTTCCACTTCCCCTTGTAGTTGGGGTTCTTGATTTTCTGAAAAGACGAAAGACTAAGCATTAGGCACCATAATCAGGGACAAGTCATTCAACTTAAATGTTCAGACTCCACAAACCTTTGCCTTCCATGGGCCCTTGTACTCCGGATTGGGGATGGTTGGGGCTGTCCATTCACCATCTTCTTCATCATCCCAGTCCTCTGGCTGCAATTTAAAAAAGGCTCAGTAATTAAAAAATTTACTCTATATTCCAGGTATTAATATAAGACTTATATAAGTAAAGCTCAACTGGTTACCTTCTTGGCTTCGGGATCAGTTATCTCCTCTGGAATGTCATCATAGCCCTGCAGTTATTACAGATTGAATAAATTGATCGTCATCTTCCTCCATTTTCAAATGGCACAGACAAACCACTCAAAAAATATACAAAGGATACCTCTGGCTTCTTATCCTCAGGATCATCAATGAATTCCTTGTCATCCCAATCTTCAGGCTGCAATAAACATGTAACTTGATCATTAACACTATCAAAAAGATAAATATCAATTGACTCTGAAAATGTGATGCAATGGGAATTACTTTCTTGGCACTTGGATCCTTGATATTCTTTGGTGGGAGAATGTCCCAGTCAGAGTACAAGCTACCAGACTGTTTCTCCACATTGTCAATGAGAATACTGTATGTGGCATCAGGGCGGAGGATGAAAGTGTAGACATGGGTCAGCTGATCAGTCTCACATGGGACTTCCTTCTTGATCAAGTGGTTTGTCTCGTTATGAGTGAGAATAGCATGGACTTTCTTGGTACTGTAGCCACAGATGTCTGGTCCAAACATGATACTGCATGGAAACATTTATCAAAAACTTCATTCATGAACTACGGGACATTTTTAAAAGTAAAAACATACATCAAAACAAATAATACTTTTATGGTAAAAAAAAAAGTAGCAAGAAAATATTATGTGCAACCTGTAGGGAGTGTCACCACCGAATTTCTTTTGGTCAACGTCTCCACTAAGCAACTTCATGTACCCACCACCACAGTCAAGCTTCTGCTCATGCTTAACAGAGAACTGGAACACTAAGTTCTTTCCCTTGTTACTAAATTCAGGGAACTCAGCCGAAATGGCGTAGAACCTGAAGTCTTCACTGGTCTGAATACCTGATATATAGAATAAGTAAATAGATGTTATTATTTTTAACATTCAGCTCCAGATAAAAGAGTCAGATATCAAAAGGCTTATAGCTTGAAGTAACTAGGCTCTAATTAGTGGGAGATTGCAGACCTTTGTCGTTGGCGTCTCCATTCCACTTCCCAGAGGTGTGATTCCACTCTCCAGCCATGTTTTCATCTTTCTTCCATTCAGATTTTACCCACCTGCTCTCCCAGCCATCTAAAAGTTCAAGAAGCAAAACTTATCAGCCTCACAGTGCCCAACATAAGAGAATAATTTGACACATTTAAACTTGACAATTATAATGCAGCAGAACAGACCACAGAATATCAGCAGAATATAAGCATAGATTTCACACTAATTCAGTAACTAGGCAACATTAATGTATTTCAGTATCAAACACTAACATTGATTGCTAATTCAGCCGAACATATATAGTTAATAGATGCTAACTGTTTTGATTTCCAGTCAACAAATAAACAAACTGCCAACAAACATTGTATATGAAAACAATACAAGAGTGCAATGCTCTAGTTATACTAGGAATTGTCAAGAATTAACTTTATCCATGTAATACTAATAATCATGATCTTTCGAAATTTTCTTCTGTATAATATATAGATCCAATATTAGCCAGTCAGAGTGTTAAGACATGATTTTTTAAATCATATAGCAAACCGGATAAGATCTAACAATTCTACCAATTACCAATCAGTCCAAGTACATGAAGAAAATTGCAGTCCCATAGCAAGAAAATACACGCAAATGGAGTATGCTCTTTCAGAGAGACAATGTAGATATACTCGATGGCACTCAGACACATCAACATTCAAAAAAATACAAATCATAATCACAAACATAGAATTCAAAAACCTAACATGCCAAAACAACATTCCGATCTACATATATCATCTTAAAATTGACAGATCTACTCCAAAACTTCAAGCTTCTATCAGATAAAACTAAAAACAAACAATTAAGCTCAGATCTTTCACACTCCTCATCATTTTCCACAAATTCACTCCAAAATCAAATGGATCACAAAAATTGATCCAAGTGACATCAATCAATTGACGTAAATTAATTCACAAATGGATAAAAATTTTACCATTGAAGCTTTCCTCGAAGAAAACTTCGGCGGCGGCGGCGACTACGAGTAGAGAGAACACAGCAACGAGATGGAGAGAGCTAGGGCTTTTCATTCGTCGAGTAGCCATGGCCACTATTGTGTGAGATGGAAAATACTGACTGTGAGATCTCTGACGAACGCTCTTTTATACTGTGGAGAGTTATTTTCGGTAGATACGTAGGGCAGCGTTTGGGTTTAATCTGACGTGGAAGAATTAAATGGCATGAACGAATAAGAATGTGCCATCTGTCATTAGAGTGTCATTAACTTGACGTGGCTGATTCTTATTGGGAACCTACACGAGTGAGAATGACCATATTTACGTTTGCACTTGTGCGATGATTTTTTCGAAATAACGAATTTACCCTTTTTTGGCCCTCGTATATGAATTTCACACAAATGCCATGCCAAAATACTCTATGCTAAGTTTCTAACCTTTGGATTTACTTTCTCCGTTTTAAAATAGTTGTCAATTACTCAATTCCAAAATAGTAGTCAAATTCATTTAATGAGAGTTAGTTTAATTAATTTTAATAATAAATTTAAATTAAATTAATTTAATATTTTAAAATTAAATTTTTTTTAATATTAAAAAATTATAATGAAAAGTAATATAACGTACAAAAAAATTTATATCAATCTGATGAAAAAATATATTTTAAAATGTTAGTCAAGACTCATATTAAATATTTTAGAATGTGATGTGTATTGTTTCAAAAAAAAAAAATTAGACAGGTTAATTTAAAATATTTAATTACTCCTTGTACAATCAAAATGCCATTAATAATCGTTACTACTATTTTAGTAATTACACATTTTTTTCAATTCTACCCTTATATAATTCAATTTCATTTTTTCGGTTTTTGAAATTCTATTTACCTCTTGAGGCCGAAGTTTAATTAAAAAAAAAGTGAATTTCTGAAAAGTCAAATATGCTTATTAGAACCTCCCCAAAGCTCATTACTTTTTCACATTGTTTCTTTTGGAAATTGTAAAAATTTGAAAGTGGATGAGCTTATCGTTATACTTCTAGCAGTGACCTTTCTTTGTCAACAACAATTTTTGGTCAACAAATTTTAAAAACATATTTTTATTTCTACAAATACAATTTCACACGTAGAAAGAAAATATTTTCAACTTTAAATGTCAATGTCTCTGCTTGAATTGGAATACGGTTTAATATAAATATCGGGTGTATGCAATTAATTTATGGATTTTGAAAATGTAAATCGTAAACAAAAGCTTGAAGCACGTAAGAATTTTTCTAAGATTATAAATAACTAAATAAACATCTTATTAGAGTTGATATATTCAATTGAACATTATTTTAGTTCGAATATCTAAATGAAATATTTTAACAATTTTAAGAGATTGATTACATATTAAGCCAATATAACTCTTGTCATTCTACGAGATCTGCTTCCATGTATATTACCATTTCATCTTGGTTGCTTTTTGTTTTGTCAACCGTCAAGAAATGGAAAAGGATTCCATTATGGAAAATCCATACTGTAATTATTAAAATTTGAGTGTTGATCGAATGCAAGATGCTAATGAGCACATTATATCTATTGAATCCGTTATTAATGTTTTTTAATAAAGAATAACATGGTCAAATCAATTTGTGAACATCTTAATTATTTTTTAAAAAAAAATCATTTTTGTTGTTAATTTTCATTGAGATTTCAAGCTTCAGTAATGTTTTAGTATGGTGCCTTTTAAAATAATTAACACAAGCCGTCCATCATTACAATTAACAAGCAATGAGGAGGAGGCGGAACTACTCTTTGTCTGAAGGGGTATTAACTGATATTAATTCGTTAAAAAAATTATATTATGTAAATATAATCTTAAGAAAATATTTAAATTACATGGCTTATTTTTAAGTTTTTAGTAAAAAATTTAACTCCATTACTGATTGAAGGGAAAAAGGATAAATATACCCCCAACTAACGTAAATAGTATGCAGATACCCTTCGTCATAGTTTTAGGATATTGGTGTCCCTTCCGTCAAAAAACTAGAGCATATATGCCCTTTATACTAACGGGTTGCGAATATACACGTGTCATAATCTTATCCACCGATCCGACATTTATTAAATATCAGATCGACGGATAAGATTCTGCCACGTGTCCCTATTTGGTCTTCCGTTCGAGTGAAGAGCATATATGCTCTAGTTTATGGACGACAGAAGCACCAATGTCCCAAAAGTATGACGAAAGGTATCTACATATCATTTACGATCCTTCGGGATATATATGCTCTCATTTGTGTTGGGTCCAAAATCTTCAGTGAGAATAATAATCACAAAATAAAACTGCAGAAAGTTCTCATACCATTAAACCTTGCACAACCCATGTGGTTGGTTTCTGACGTATAATAGTAACTATTATTCATTCAATTTGTTGGCACTATTATTATTTTTGTCCGTTTTATAAAAGAGTGTTTTTAGGGTAATTATTTAATTTTAACATTTCATATGGTATATTTAAGATTATAAAATTTAATGACATTTTGATACATTTAACATATATTTAATTTAAGATCATACGATTTACAAGTCTTTTTTATTTTCTTACATATTGTGTCATATCAAAATAAGATATATAAATTGAAACGGTGGAGTAATAAAATAACCTATGCCTGCTGAATTTAGATAGTATATACGTTATAACATGTGTAACCTTTTGTCCAAAGCAACCAACTTTTGGTGGAATAATTAAACAAGTATTTCCATAATCAAGATCCACTTTAATTTATTTTTTAAAGAAAGAGGGGTTGGGTAAAGTTATCAACTACGTTTTAGTTTTTAATTCATTTTTGCAGAATTTCTGTTGAGATCCAACTTATCTATTTATAGAGTGGAAATTATTTTTACTATCCAAAATGAGTACATTTTATAAGGACAAGTGGGCCGGCACTTGTCTTTTTTGCAGATTTTTGAATTGAATGGATGCTTGATTTGGAAGATATCAATTTCAATTTTCAGCCACTCCTTTTATTAGCTGGATTTGTTATTATTATAATTTATAGATTACCAATTCAGATCAGAATTATAATTTTTCTAGCTCATACACTATATTGTAGAATATACGATCCTAAAATGTTGAACTTTATGTCTTTAAAATTTTGATCAATTACTTACTGCTCAATTCTCGTTTGTTTATCCTTTGTTTTCTTTTGACATTTTCGTCAATTCATAATTTTCCTTTTGTTTTATGAATTTGGCAGTCTAGTGCCTTAAACTCTCACTATGCCTCGGATTCAAGAAAGGATTAGACCACAAGGATTTATTGTATGCAGTCGTATCTTGTATTTTTACAAGAGATTATTATTTTCACAGTTCTACTGTGACCTAATGATCATATGACTCTTTTTGTCTATCGAAAACAATCTCGCTACCTCTCATCAATATAGAAAAAGATTTGTGTACATCCTATGCTTGATATATTATTTTTGTTGAATTGGGCCAAAAAAGATGAGGGATGGCATACACAAAGGAATATACTGTAATCCGCTCAACCTACTCACCTACTTTGTTTTCTCTGTGTTTACCAATTGTTTTTTCATTTTTATGTTATTAAAGAAGATTAGAAAAAGTAAACATGAGAATTAACTTTTCAAAACAAGAAAGACTGGATGCTTAATACACCTTTTTATTGAAATAAAAATACTTCTATTAAGAAATTTTGAAAAGCTTAGCCCCAATTATTATTTTTCTGTAAGGTAATTACGGATTACCTATACAATAATTTTCCCAAGAAATGTTATGTGTGGAAATAATACTCACTTCTCAAAAAAATGACAAGTAAAAAGAATTTGTCTAGACAGAATAACTCTATGTTTATTTGGAGAAATATGTTTTTGTACAAAGAGGCTCATTCTACAGTAACTTGAATAGGAGTCCCCCATGAGTAGCAAAGAAAGGAGCAAACACCAAAGATTCAACAGCCATAAGCTTGATCAGTATATTCAATGATGGACCAGAAGTGTCCTTTAATGGATCACCAACTGTATCTCCAATTACTGCAGCTTTGTGTGCATCTGATCCTTTTGGTCCTAATGATCTAGCATGTTCTGTTGCACCAGCCTGCAAAAAAAAGAAAGGCGAAAACGTTATCATTGAAAATGACTTTACATATAATATGTTGAAATACTTGAGGGCCTTGTTAGTCAGTTACCTCTATGTACTTCTTGGCATTATCCCATGCTCCTCCCGTGTTTGAAGCTGAAATAGCAACCTAGAGTCATCGAAAAATGTGAAATAGTTACTATAAGATTGCGAATTCTAAGAGACATGAATGTTGCAAATTGAAGGTACTAAGAGTTGCATACTTGAACACCAGAAACGAGAGAACCAGCGAGCACACCAGCTAGTGTTTCCACTCCAAAAAAGGTACCAGCAATAAGAGGTGTTAACATGACTAAAGCACCTGGTGGGATCATCTCTTTGAGTGAAGCATCAGTTGAGATTTTGACACAAGTTGCATAGTCTGGTTTTGCTGTTCCTTCCATTAGCCCTGGGATACTATTGAATTGTCTGCGAACTTCTTCAACCATTTTCAGAGCTGCACTGCCTACACTCTTCATTGTCATGGCTGAGAACCAATACGGAAGCATTGCTCCTACTAGCAAACCAATGAAGACCTTAGGTGATAAGACATCGACAGTTTTGATACCAGCTCTGCTCACGTAGGCACCAAACAAAGCAAGAGATACAAGTGCAGCTGATCCAATCGCAAAACCCTGATAATGTGGGAAAGTAGTTTGTCAGGTATACTTGCTCTGGAACTAATGTTCCCAAAAGGCGAGTATCTAGAGTTAGTAGATTCAAAATGAGTGTAATCTTATTATATAAACATTAAAAAAAATGCATAATTTGGTTTGAACAGAAAGCAATGTGTTCCGTTGAACCAGCAGAACTCACCCTAGATCCGTCTCTGAATTGTTAACTATTCATGTACACATAATATAGTACAGAAGGCACCAATATCAAGAACACAACTTTGAGCTGTCACTTTGAAGCAAGTCTATTTCACTCAGCTCACAAGTGACCTAACTGCCGATTAATTAGAGTTGCTGAAACTTTCTAGTTAAGAAGTGTAAAGGACTCATATAATTGGAAAGAATTTCTATGTACATCAGGAAACACTCATTTGCGTAATTGGACAAACATAGAGAGGTTAATGCTATAGATTAGGAGGAGACTTATCTAACCTTGCCAATTGCAGCTGTTGTGTTCCCAGCAGCATCAAGAGCATCAGTTCTTTCACGAATGCTATGGCTCATTCCAGCCATCTCTGCAATACCACCAGCATTGTCGCTGATAGGACCATAAGCATCTATTGCGAGCCCAGTGGCTATAGTGCTAAGCATTCCCAGAGCAGCGACTGCAATGCCATACATAGCAGCTAAGCTGAAGCTCACGTATATAGAAGCAGCAATGGCAAATATGGGAATGATAACCGATTTATATCCAAGAGCCAATCCAAATATTACATTTGTCGCAGCACCAGTCTTGCAAGAATCTGCCACTTCTTGTACTGGACTGCAAGATTTTGCAATAGAAGATTTTAAGAACATAGATCAGATACTACATAACTTTCCCCCTCCCCAAAATAAAAAAGAAAAAGAGACAAATAACAGGCATAAACACAATGCTTCATTGCTAGTGGAGAAACACTCTTCTCTATTTCATTATGAAATACTAGCTACTATTGCTAAGAAGTAGAGAGGAAAACTTGATGGGTAGGTGGATGCTATCATAAGAGATTCCCAACATATCATATGATTCTCGTTCTTAAATATCCACACTTTCCCAAACCCAGAAAACAGACGGAATTCTAGTTTGATTATTACAGGTCACAATCTCTCGTACCTTCTGTAAAGCAATTCCAGGTTGAGCTTTCATTTCCTTAGTTGATTAGTGACTGATTTCCTTGTTTCCTTTCTGAAGCTAATTTTCATTTAACATATTTTTTTTCATTTCGTTTCCCCTTTTTTCGCGATTGAGAAAGACTCACTTAAATAATAGTAGTACTTGATATGGCTTGAAAATTTGGCAAACTATGCAACTTATGTCATAGCATAAATGCATTATAATATATTTATCCAAGCATAAGTTAACAACTGAAATTACCAACCTGTAAGCACTGCTAGTGTAATATTCAGTAGTATAACCAATGACCAAGCCAGCCCATAAACCAATTGAAACACAAAAGAATAGGTGCCTGTAGCAATACATAATGATCATTCTATATTAGAAACATAGACAATAGGTAGAACTATGCACAAAATATGAAGCAAGAAGAAGAATACCAGTTCTTCACCACTTTCTCGGATCCAAAATCGAAAATAGTGAATTCTGATGGCAAAGCAAAGAAACTGACAAAAGCAATTCCAACAGTCATCAGAACAGTTGAGATGAGAAGTTGCCTCTTCAAAGATGGTTCAATCTCAGTCACATTCTTTATCTCAAACATATCGGTTGCAAAAAGAGTCGTTATCAAGCAAACAACAATTCCCATTGAGCTGATAATCAGAGGATAAGACATAGCCGAGTAGTCGTGGCTACTACCAAAGGATGAAATGGATGCAACAAACAGTGCTGCACATGATGACTCAGCATAGGAACCGAATAGATCCGAGCCCATTCCTGCAATATCCCCTACATTATCACCTACATTGTCTGCAATAACCTGTGATCAACAAAGGAAAATATAACACAACTTATTAGGCTTCAACTTATAAACAATGAAAGTGTAAAAACTATAGCAAGAGCAGAAGGTCCCAAGATGAGAGATTACAGCTGGGTTGCGGGGATCATCTTCAGGAATATTACGTTCAACTTTGCCTACTAGATCAGCACCAACATCTGCTGCTTTTGTATATATACCTCCACCAACTCTTCCAAAGAGAGCCATTGAAGATCCTCCAAGACCGTAACCAGTAATAGACTCATACAGACCCTCCCAATCATCTCCATAGTACAGCTTAAATAAGTTGATAGAGATATATAAAACTAAGAGGCCATTGGCAGCAAGAAGGAATCCCATAACTGCACCAGAGCGAAAAGCTATAATGAAGGCCTTCCCAATGCTTTTCCTTGCTTCCAGAGTCGTTCTTGCATTGGCATACGTTGCGATTTTCATTCCAAGGAAGCCAGAGAGGGCTGAAGTTAGGCCTCCCAGAAAGAAGGCAATGGTGGTAAAGAAAGCATTGGCTAAAGCTGGTTTGCAAATTTTTTCTTTGTTGAAAGTGCAAGGCTCACTTTCTGTGCTGAAACTTTTTACTGATCCAAGGAAGAGAAAAATGATTGCTCCAAATACCACCATGAATATGCCAAGATACTTGTACTCCGTAAACAGGAAGGATGTTGCCCCTGCCAATGTTCGACATAGTTAATATAAAAGTAACAGGACAATCCTGTGGCTTCTTTTAGTGGTAACTGGAAACCTGTTAGTATATGTTAAAAGTTTGCATCCTTAAATCGCAATGAAGATACCTCGGCATTAGGATTTTAGTTTTGTTTGTCAGCTATCGATCAATATGAAAAACATTAAATTTGAAAAAGAAGATCGTACTAATTAGATGACATGACAATAACTATTAGAAGACACATGTAACACAATTATGTTAAAGATGCAGTCTTATGGATTCGGATACAACAATTCAAATAATCTTCTTGATGAAGACAACAATGGATCAGCCTTGAAAACATACATTGTTAAGGACATTGAAATGAAGGAGAAGCCCATGGATAGTAAAGTAACTATAAACCACATGGAACCAATAACAGTTATAACAATAGGTGAAATGAGAAAAGGTTCATGCTTTGCAGTCAACGAAACCGTTTCAAAGTTTCAAATCCCGATGAAACAATAACTACACCTCAGTCCCAAACAAATTGAGGTCGACTTATATGAATACTCATTATTCCATTTAGCTCAACTCATGTCATCATCATTCAAAAGGCTAGGTGATTTCATTTATCTATCTAAGCTTTGGTGAATAGACTTATCTGATACCTATATCGGTGGAAAGTACACGTATGATTGTGCATTCCAGCTGACACGGACACCATCATTAATAGAAAAAAGAAAGAAAAGGTTTAGCTATGCGCGGGTCCAGGGAAGGACTGGACCATTTATTGTACACAGCCTTCCCTGCATTTCTGCAAGAGGTTGTTGCTACCGCATGAAGTCACATGGCATTAACTTTACCAGTTATGCCAAGGCTCCCCTCCAATCATCATAACCTTAGTATCTAAACAAAAATGAGTGAGTCAAATTCAGAGAGGTAAAAAAGAGCTCACCTTCAGAAATGGCTTTTTGAATGTCAGCACACTTGGCAACAACATCATCAGAATCAATCCCTTCTTCTTGTTCATCTTCTTCAATCAACTTGTCATTGTATTCACTTACCAAGTTTGACCCACTGGAGACTCTGACCTTTGAGACCAAAAACCACTGAAGCAGAGCAAAACCAATGCCAATAAAAGCAGCTAAAGGTATCAGAATCTGTGTTAAGGCCTCACTCATCAAACCCATCTCTCACACTTTTTCAACTTTCTTGAATACTTCACTTTCTATATAACCACACAACAAAAAGGAAGCATTTCTTGAAAATAAAAGACTATATGACTATTTATAAAGAACTAAAGAGAATAAAATAAAACAAAATATGGTATTTCTTATGACTATTTGTAAATATTAAATGCAGACGAAAAAATATTAAATCTACGTAGCTTAGCATGCAAGGAAATTGTTGGAAAGCTTTAAGTTGGTTGATTTGATTAACCGTTATGTTTGAATAAGAAAAAATACTCCCCAAGAGACCTGCTAGGAAATACCTCATGTAAAGAGCAATTGTTAAGTAAAATCAAATTAATCAACATCCATAGGACTATGTATTTTTCAATTTACAATTTTTGATTAACCATTGCTTAATCGTGGAAATTTTGACTTCTCTTAATTTTTCAGAATTAGATGGTTTAAATTTAAACTAATCAAGAGTCAACCAAAGATGCCTCAATAATAAGATACTTGTATAAAAACAAAAAGGTAAGTTTGTAATGTTTATGTATGTAATGTGATCAATGTAATTAGGTTCAACTATTTATGTCATTAACTACCTAATTAGGTTCAACCTTTTTAAGTATTCAAACTCCAATTTTCCTTAATCCAGCCATTATGGAAAAACCAAATTTAAAATAAAAAAAAGAAGAGTACAGTTTAGTGCCTGTAATTTCTTGCAGGGTTCTCAGCGGTCAACTTGAAGCTATGCATGTATTTTGAATTGTCTTAGTGGAAGATTACTTACCGATTTAAGATTTAAGAATAAAGGTGTTCCTTCTGCGTTTCTACCAAACCCAAGACTGCATTAAAAAAATAACAGAAGGTCAACTTATTTGGGATTATTTGATCACGCCTTCAGAGATTTATACGTTTTAGAAAATTTGAAAAACTTTTAATACTCTTATAGTGAGTAATATGGTAAGTGAGAATTTGTATAATAATCCGCAACTTATTTGGGAGTGAGGCATAATTAATATTGTTATTGTTTATAAAGCATGGAAGGTTCAGCACATAACTAATTGTTGATCTATTTCACTGATTCAGTCCATGGAATAACTTCAGGCAAACCAAATCAAACAAAACATGTCGAGAATGATGATTTACAATTCAGTACTCCAATCTCTCTTGGAGCAAAAACTACCACAGCATGCTAAATAAGAACAAGGAAGTAACTGAGATGTCAATAACATCTGATTGGAAATCCTTTTCGATGCAGCAGCCTGCAGCTCCTTTTCCATTGCTTCCTCCCTCATCCCAACAACTAGCAGATTAACATAAAGGGCAGTTACTGAAATGTCAATAACATCTGACTGGAAATCCTCTCCGGTGCTGCAGCCTGCAGCTCCTCTATGCAACTCTCTCCCTTGTTGAACAAATTGCAGAGAATGAGAACATCTCCATAGATGCTCCGCATAAATTAACTTCATATTAGTCAGTATGTTCCAATTTAGTTGCAGATACTGTATAAGAAAATCCTAAATAGCAGATAGTCAACAACTACCGAGCATATTTTTCTCTAGTCCAAAACAAGATAAATAGCATATCGTCAGCAACTTTATCCTCCAAAAAAAGCGTACTGTCAAACTTTTTCCATCTATCTGAACCTCGATGGATAGAGTCACTAACATTGCTGCAGATGGGAGATAGCAGGTACCCGGTGTATTAGTCTGGTTGTGCCCAAGTTGATCTGGACACCAGCTTTATCCCAAAAAAAAAAAAAAATCGTCAACAATTATTAAGTATATTTATCAAAAGTTAGAATATGAAACATAGTGTTCTGCACAAAAAGGAGTTGATTTTGAGACAGCTCTTTACAGGAAGAAGTCCATAGACATAAAGTATAATTCGGGACTAAAAGCAATAAGCACATATATGCTGAATTGCACAAGATATGTAGACACATCCATTGAACATGATCTCTTGTAGGTGTTGTGTTCACAGCAGTACACTGCACATTTTTATTTTTGATGACAAGTAACCAGAAAAATGTATAGCCTATTCACATGTATAGGATCTTGGATAATACTATACATGTAAACATGCTAAGTTTAGCAGGAAGGATTTAACAAAAAACAGCCGGTATATTAAGATTCACATCCTAAGATACACTGACAAGAAAATTGGTGGGCAGACTCCCTTTTTGTTTGGCTTTCCATTACGTGGGCCAAAATGGGTGCTTCATTTGATCAGGAATCACCTATCGACAAAATAATTTAAGCAAAAGGAAAAATGTGTTGAAGTCCATAAACAACACTAATAAAATTAAGGAGCCAATTGCATTTGTATTTGATAATCACAAAATAAAAGCAGCATTGTCACTCAAAACAGAACAGCCACAGACCCCCCACCATTGACAAAGGAAAAGAAGAAGAAGAAGAAAGAAAAATTCAATTGAAAGAAAACCCGACAACAGTTTGCATTGACTTCTCTATATACAAGGGTATCTCTTTTTCCTCTACTGCCTTTTAATAAAGTGCCATCCAGAGATAATTTCTCGCTCTCTCCTTCTCCAACTTCCCCTCTAGGTATATAAAACAACAAATAACCTATCAAACTTTAAGCATTGTCATAACAATTTCAAGAAGCAAAAATTAAGAGGCAAAAGAACTACTATCAAAGTCAACAAAGTAATGAAGGCTAGGATTTTACCATTTGCTTGAGAGAGCTCAAAATACTATCAAACTGCAAGATCAATCATTACTCGAACTGAGACTTTAAGGTTGAATGGCCCAGGAAGGTAAAGGTGCCTGAAGCAGCATTGGTTTCCCAGTAATAGGATGCTCAAAAGATAAACTTTCTGCATGAAGTTCATGACTATCATATCTGCTTCCTTTCCACTCATAGACACCTTCATATCTTACATCTCCTCGTATAGGAATTCCAAGATACTGGCAATGCAAGCGAATTTGGTGTGTTCTTCCACTCCGAGGGCTCGCCCTGACCAAAATCTCATCTTTCTTCAAGTCACAACCAATGACTGATTTCTCTTGAACTATGACTACATCTTCATCTTTATGAAAGTCAGAAACCTCTTTAAAACACCCAAGACCATTCACTGATAATACTTCAAAAGAGGTCTCCATGTCTTTAACAAGTGATCCACCTGGCAATTTTCTGCCCGCATCTGATGCAGCATAAACACGCCAAGCTCCATATTTTGACCGTCCATGACCTGATTTTACAGTTATTTTTTCCCATTTAGGAGCAAGCCCAACACAGTAAGCCAGGTATGTTTTTCGTACTTTATGGTCTGTAAATGCTTTTACGAACTTAGCTGCTACTTTGTGTAACTTAGTAATCAACATCACACCACTTGTGTCACGATCAAGTCTATTAGCTAAATGAAGCTCGGAAACATTAGCCCCTGAAGATATTGCAAGTGGAGGTGAAAACATAAGGAAACCTCACAAGTATCCAAGTAGTATTAGTTTTCATATATTTCTTAACTTAAAATATAAAATGATTCAAATGTTTAACGATAAAAACAACATAACATGATTAAAAGCCTCTGTTCGATTCATTCCTCTTCTTTCCGAAACCATCTTTGGGAGTGTAAAAGTCTCTGTTCGATTATACATTGTTAATAAACAGAAGTACAAGTATTACACCGATCAAGCAAGGGTTAAGTGACAACCGCAGGTGTATATTATGTATACTACGACCTATAAACTACAAACAAAAGAGTTCATATGGTCAGTTACTCAGTCTATAGAATCAATTTAACTGAAATTATATTTTGCTAATCCAAATGTTATCTATGAGTAAGTAATTATCCCCTTCCAACTCCAAATATTACAGAAGACAACCAATTGTAAGGAATCTCACCAGTGTCATTGAGTAAATCCGGGAGTGAAGACAAAACGCTCTCGCAGTAAATTCCTTGAGGCTTATTAACCGCAATGATCCATTCGTCTTCAAAGATAACATGACTTCTCGAGAGAGAAAACAAAGCGGATTTCGAAGAAGCTGTTAAGGCTCTATTCGGCTCTATGTCCTTAGATAAGGCAGGCAATGGCGGAGATAATGGTACTGGGTAATCTGTGGTTGCCGCCGAGGGAGAATCGAAGTAGCTTTGGCTCGCCATGAAGATGAATCGACGGTGCCGGGAAATTCTGGTAGAAGAAGCGAAGAAATTTATCAAAGGGATTTGGAAGAGAGGGAACTTTACTGTCATTAGGATTTTCGGCTCTAGGGATTTAACCAATATTGCCCTAAACTTTTCAGTTTAGTCCGTTACGAGTGTAAGTTAAAAATGGAAAAACTCACGGCGTGCGGGCACCGTCTTTTCTTTTTAAATTTAATTAAAAGTGTAATAAATATTTTTTATAAAGAAATTGCAAAATTATAATAATAAATTATAAATAGCCTAAAAAGTCAATTTTCTTCGTTTAAGTTGTACTTCTTTTTTTTATAAAAAAAAATCTATACCCATTTGAGACAAAAGACTGATGTGCCATTTTTTTTCTCCTTTTCCTCGCTTTTTGGGATTTGAGATTATTAGTTTTTTTTTTATGCATTAGTGTTAAATTTGAATTAATTTTGTTTCGTTTTACATGAAATAATTAGTTCATAATAGTTAAAAAGCTCGAAAATAAACATGTGTAGTTAGAAAAGTTTTAAAACAAAGGCAAATCAATATTATTGTAAAATAGGTTTATTCAATTTGTTATTATTTTTGGTTACTTTCTTATTGTTGAAAATGTTGAAAGATAAAACTTAAAGATTATCTCTAAAATAAGGACCTTCTTTCAAATAACCTTTGTCGGATTGTAAACATTCTAAATTAATAATTAAACTAGTAAGATAAGTGTTATCAATTTCTATTAATCGATTAAAAGATATTTATTTATCCAATAATTTTTATTTTTTTTATTTAAGCAAATGAAACAAACGTATTGACGTTTGTTACTTCATGACGTTTGTATAGGTCTCGTATTTGTTAGTTCATGACGTTTGTATTCACATAATATTTATTGCTAAAACAAGCATCATGATCTAATAAATACGAGACCTATAAATAAAAAATA